TACGAATTATTATATGGAACGTCCGTGGTCTAAATGATCCGGATAAAAGAACGGTGGTTAAGGTTGCTTTGAGGCAGTGGAATGCTCGTGTTATATGCTTGCAAGAAACTAAGATGAATGCTATGTCTGACGAGGTGGTAAGGAGTATTTGGGGAGGAAGGTTTGTTGAATGGGAAGTTTTAAATGCTTCTGGCACATCAGGCAGAATTCTTATTTTGTGGGATCGAAGATGATTGTCCAGAACGAATATCTAGAAAGGGCACCATTCCTTGTCATGTGTGTTTCAGATGGAGGATGATAATTTCAAATGGGTCTTTTCTGGAGTTTATGGACCTGTTATTGATTGTGATAAACCAGTCTTTTGGGAAGAGCTCAGCTTTGTCAAGGAATTGTGGTCGTTGCCTTGGTGTTTAGGCGGAGACTTTAATTCTGTTAGGTCTCTGCTTGAGAGATCTACTGGGGGTAGATGGTCGGAGATGACCTAGTTTTCTGATTTCATCGATGGCCATTTCCTTGTTGATTTGCCAATGGAAGGGGTTGCTTTTACTTGGTCTAATGGTATCACTTTCTCAAGGTTGGATCGGTTCTTGATTTCTGGGGATTGGGAAGAAAAGTTCCCGGATGTTACTCAAGTGGCTTTGGTTAGGGTAACGTCCGACCATATACCCTTAGTTCTTAATTGTGGAGGGATGAGATCCAGACGTACGCCTTTCCGCTTTGAAAATATGTGGTTAAGATCTGAGGATTTTCAAAGGAAAGTTCAGTCTTGGTGGGGGGAAGCATCTTTTACAGGTTCTCCTAGTTATGTCTTAGCTAGGAAGTTTCAGGTTCTCAAATCTGAACTTAAGAAATGGAATAAAGAGGTGTTCGGGAATCTTGAATGGAAGAAGAACAGAGTTTTGGCTGATATTGCTGAACTTGACCGTCTTGACGCGCTGGGGCAAGACGTGGAGTCTTTATGTTCCAGAAGAGCGTCTTGTCAAGCGATTTTTGCAGAGATTGCTGTTATGGAGGAGATTTCGTGGCGTCAGAAATCTCAGGCACTGTGGCTCAAAGAAGGTGACCGTAATACAAAATTCGTTCACAGACTTGCTAACGCCCATAGAAGATGTAATCACATCGAGCGTATCCGTGTGAATGGTACAGAGTTGTGGAGAGAAGATGAGGTGTGTGGGGGAATTGTTTCTTTTTATCAGCAGCTTTACACTGAGTCTTTGGAATGGAGACCTAAACTTGATGTGTTGCGTTTCAATTCTATTTCTTCGCTGGGTAGTGACGGGCTTGAGGTTCCTTTTACTGAAGAGGAAGTTCTTAAGGTATCTAGTTGTAACGGGGATAAAGCTCCAGGGCCTGACGGTTTTACTATGCGATTTCTCAAGGAGAGTTGGGAGGTGGTGCGCAGTGAGGTGATGAACACTTTTCAGGTTTTTCATTCTCAAGGCACTTTTGAGAAATCTTTGAACGCTTCTTTTATTGCCCTTATTCCTAAGAAGGGTAACGCCTCTGATATTAAGGATTTTAGACCAATCAGTTTAGTGGGTTGAATGTATAAGCTTATCGCCAAAGTTCTCGTTCTTAGAATGCGGAATGCATTGGATGGAATTATTTCAGAATCACAAAATGCTTTTGTTGGGGGACGACAGATCTTGGATTCTGTCCTTATTGCAGGGGAATGTATTGACTCTAGGTTGAAGAGTGGTGTTCCTGGTATCTTATGTAAACTTGATATTGAGAAAGCCTATGATCACGTGAATTGGAAGTTTCTTCTTTACCTGATTCGGAGGATGGGGCTCGGAGATAGGTGGATTAAATGGATAGAAACTTGTATCTCGTCCGTTATGTTCTCGGTGCTTGTGAACGGATCTCTTGCTGGTTTTTTTGCGAGTTTGCGTGGCTTGAGACAAGGTGACCCCCTATCGTCCTTCTTATTTCTCATTGTCATGGAGGGGTTGAGTAGATTAATGAAAAGAGCTGAGGATTTGGGTTTTATCAGGGGTTTCAGAGTTGGTAGAGGAGTTGCCAATCAGATAGAGATTTCCCATTTGTTGTTCGCGGACGATACCTTGGTTTTTTGTGATGCTGACGTCTCTCAATTGAGATACTTGAGGTGCATTCTTACTTGTTTCCAAGCGGTGTCCAGTCTTAAAATCAATGTAGGAAAGAGTGTGATTGTTCCAGTGGGGGATGTTTCAGATATCTCCTCTTTAGCTGCTGTTCTTGGATGTGGAATGGGTGCTTTTCCACTTCCTTATTTGGGACTGCCTTTGGGGGTTTCCTCCAGGATAGTGGGGAGTTGGGATCCGGTAATCAATAGGTATGAAAAGAGATTGGCAGGATGGAAAAAAGCAATATCTCTCGAAAGGGTGGAAGGTCATTCTTATTAAGAGTACCCTCTCGTTCCTTCCCACTTATTTTTGTCTCTGTTTCAGATCCCATGCTTTATCGCTGAACGGATTGAAAAAATTCAACGTGACTTTCTCTGGGGTGGAAGAGCAGAGGAATTCAAGTATCATCTTGTTAATTGGGACCAAGTTTGCAAACCTTTGAAATTTGATGGTTTAGGTATTCGGAAGATGGTCCCTTTCAACAGAGCTTTATTGGGTAAGTGGTCATGGAGATTTGGTAAAGAGCGTTATCATCAGTTGAGAAGAGTTGTCTCGTGTCGATTTGGGGAGGAGAGTGGGGGTTGGTCCTTTCGTCCTGTTTCTGTCACGGGCGGCGTTGGCATATGGAAATTCATTCGAAAGGGTTGGGATGTGTTTTCCACCCACAACAGATTCAAAGTTTGCAATGGTAGGCACGTTTGTTTTTGGGAAGATTTGTGGTGTGGTGATCAACTGCTGTCTATTTCTTTTCCTCGCCTCTTCAGTATTGCCGAAAACAAGCATTCTTACGTAGTTGATTGTTATCATCTTGATAACAGTAGGGTTACGTGGATGTGCGTTTTAAACGCTCTTTTCAGGATTGGGAGTTGACAGAAGTTTGCGCTTTTTTGGACTTGCTGTATTGACAGAAGGATGTTGGCAGAGGTTGTGATGATATTGTGTCGGTGCCTTCCCCTCTTGGTAGATATGGAGTACGGTCCATGTTCATGTGTTTGTCCAACTTTAATGGCTATGAATTCCCTTGGAAGTTTATTTGGCGTTCTAAAGCTCCTCTTAGAGTTGAATTTTTTGTTTGGACTGCCACCTGCGGAAAGATTTTGACATTGGATAATTTGAGAAAGAGGGGTAATACCATTGTGAATTGGTATTGTTTATGCAAAACAGATGGAGAGTCCGTGGATCACATTCTCATGCATTGTCTTGTTGCGTTTGATTGTTGGAATTTAATTTTCAGCATTTTCGGTGTTCAGTGGGTGATGCTTGAACACTCTTTTCAATTAATCAACGCATGGAGAAGATGTCCAGTTAAAGGTCATGCGCGTGCTTTTTGGAGGATCGTCCCACATTGTGTTTGGTGGTGTATTTGGCGAGAGAGAAACAATAGAAATTTTGAAGGGAAAGAATCAACTATTGCTCACTTAAAATCTCATATTCTCCGTTCTCTTTTCTGTTATGTTAGAGGAAGCGTTTGCTCCTCGATTGCTGATCTTTTTGACCCTTTGGATTCTCTATTGGTCCTTAGGGTTTTTGTTTTTTTGTATTAGGGACGCGTTCCCCTTTTGAACGTTTTTCTAATATATTTTACTTATAAAAAAAAATTTTAATGAAAGAAACTTAAAAGACATCGGGTCCCCACATTAATATTAGGGTATGATAGTAAATTGGTTAAAATGGTTTCTTTTCTTTTCTCTTCTCTACCTTTTCCAAACAAGAATGCTATCCTTTCCTTTCTTTTCTTTCATAATTTATCCCAACATGAATACACGTCATTGCTATCTTTTCTTCTCTCTCATAACTAATGTTATCATTTCTTTTCTTTTCTCTCCTATTTATCCAAACGAAGCCTAAAGTAAATTTACTTGGATCTCCAGTGGAAAGTTACAAAGAATCAATTAGCAATTTGTAGTCTGTGTTTCTTCATATTCTTATGCAAGCAAGCTATATTTATATCCTTAGAAGTAGTTAGTGTAGAAATATGGTGGCTCCATTCTTGTAACTTCCAAAGGCGTACTGGTCTTGGAGGTGGACTACAGCAGTGGGAAATGTAAAGCTTTGTCTTCTAAAATGTATGGCTGTCAATTTTTTTTTTCACTTATAAATAAATAAATAAAGAAGACACTAGATTAGTTTCGCGGTCATTTATAATTTTTCGTACTTATTAAAAAAAAAAAAAAAAAAAATTATAATTTTTAGTGAACATGGAAATAATTATATGAGCCCAAGAATTTCTATTAGCTTTGAGATTATTGTTGATTTATTTCAGCATTACAAAACGAAAACTAGCCCTTGGCTTTATCATTTATGATTGTCTCTCTCTCTCTCTCTTCCGTTTTTGTTTATGGGTAGTGAGACTAGGTCAGTCTTCACTGAGTGATATTTGTGCATCATGTACCGACTATTTTTATAATTGTAAAGCAATTTCTAGTTTAAAAAGATGAGAGAGGACATGCTCAAGGTTTTGTATTGGAAATGCTCTTCCTTGGATATCAAAAAAAAAAAAAAAATGAAATTATAATTTTTAGTGAACAATGGAAATAATTATATCAGCCCAAGAATTTCAATTAGCCTTGAGATTATTGTTGATTTATTTCAGCATTACAAAAAGAAAACTAGCCCTTGGCTTTATCATTTATGATTGGTCTCTCTCTCTCTCTCTCTCTCTCTCTCTCTCTCTATCTTCCGTTTTTGTTTATGGGTAGTGAGACTAGGTCAGTCTTCACTGAGTGATACTTGTGCATCATTTACCAACTATTTTTATAATTGTAAGGCAATTTCTAGTTTAAAAAGATGAGAGAGGACATGCTCAAGGTTTTGAATTGGAAATGCTCTTCCTTGGATGTCTGTAACCTCTTTTTATTTTTTTTAATTTTTATTTTTATTATTTTTATCTCCTAGGAAGGTGATTCAATGTTAACAGATCGTGTTTGGGAGGCCCTTGTGAAATATTTTTCCAGCCAAATGAAGTCTGTTTTCACTGCTTCAAGCTTTGTGAAAGAGATATTTACTGTGGGATATCCAAAGCTCTTCTCCATGATAGAGAATCTTCTTGAGAGAATTTCACGTGACACAGATGTCAAAGGAGTTCTACCAGCTGTCAGTTCAGAAGGAAAAGATCAAATGGTTACTGCAATTCAAATATATCAGACAGCTTTCTTGGCCCTCTGTCTGAGTCGACTGTCTGATCTTGTTAATTCCGTATTTCCAGTGTCAAGCCGTGGAACTGTTCCTTCCAAAGAACATATCTCAAGAATTTTATCACGCATTCAGGAAGAAATTGAAGCTGTTCAGCTGGATGCACGTTTGACACTTCTTGTCTTGCGTGAAATCAACAAAGTTCTGATTCTGCTTGCAGAAAGAGCTGAGTACCAGGTAAATTTTATTTTATTCTTTTTCTCAGTTGGTTTTGCTACTTTATGTAAATGAAGCATGAGATTAAATATGACTATGTATTTCTACCTAAATTATGCAACAGTTTTCATTGTTTATGTGCTAGAATTTCCTAGTCATATAATCTTCCCTTTTTCTGCCCCCCATGGTTCATAATTTTTCATTCTTCACTTTTGACTTACCTCATGACTGCTAGGGCAATAAATGACTTCTTCATTTTCTTTTGGCAATAAGTTATTGTTCTGTAATTCTATTGGATCGCTATTCAGCATTGCTTAGTTAAGAACTTGATTGCGCCATTGATATGGGGATTGATCAATCAGCGTGCTAAGCAATAGAGCTACTTCCTTGTCTGTTCATTTTGGTTCTTGTATTTCAAATGCTATAAATTCCTTTGAAGTCCTTTGGTTGTCGAACTCACTTTAGGGTAGTTCCAGTAATTGTGTTGGAGAATTATATATCAAATGAATATATTTGATATATAATTTACAAAAACAAGGCCCCATCCATCCTATCCTTAATGGGAAATTGGGTCATACATTTTGGGTACTTATTTTGTTGATTATATATGCTGTTGTGATTTTCTTGTAATCTCTATTTGAACATTACTTTGTGAAGCACAGAACAGAGTTAAACTTGTTTTCGGATGTAGATGCATGTACCAAACTTTGCTGTTAGGCTGTTTTGTTACTTTTCGACGGCATCCATTGTCTTTTCATGTTATACATTGGAATTTGAATATAACACTGACCATCCTAGGTCATTATTACATTGTAGGTCGATATTCATTTGATTATGAATACATTATGTTTGTTTTCTTTACCATGGGACCAGGGAATAGCGGGTCATATTATATATAATACATAAAATTTATATTACCTAAACTAGGAATTGTGCAAGAGCGCAAATATTTTCTGTTATGTTTCAGATCTTGAAGGCTGAAATGAGGGTGTGTTTTTTTTCCCCATATTGGTAAAGCATGTGTAGAATGTAAGTAATTACCAACTATGATGCATAGATTTTGATCTGATCACGGTTTGAACCACCCCCAAGTCATATAGTACCTCATAGTATGGATAGAGGATGTGAATAAACTATTTCACTGCAACACTGTCCTTGAGGAAGTACTCCTTTTGATCCTTGTGTTTGATAATTGTACATTAAATTATGTAAATATTTTGTGGCGGCAGATATCTACTGGCCTGGAAGCACGGCAAATAACTGGTCCTGCAACTGCAGCACAACTCAAGAACTTTGCATTATGTCAGCATCTGCAAGAAATTCATACACGCATATCATCTATGATCACCGGACTGCCCACTATTGCCTCTGATGTCTTGTCCCCATCACTAGGTACCATATATGGGGTTGCATGTGATTCAGTGACATCCTTGTTCCAAGCCATGCTTGACCGGCTTGAGTCTTGCATCTTGCAAATTCACGAACAGAACTTTGGTGTGCTTGGCATGGATGCTGCTATGGACAACAATGCATCCCCTTACATGGAAGAGTTGCAAAAATGCATTCTTCACTTCCGTAGTGAATTCCTTTCTAGGCTGTTGCCTTCTTCATCAAATGCGATCACTGCAGGAACAGAAACCATATGCACTAGGCTTGTCAGGAGCATGGCTTCTCGGGTTCTGATATTCTTTATAAGACATGCTTCTCTTGTTAGACCTCTCTCTGAGTCAGGCAAGTTGAGAATGGCTAGAGACATGGCTGAGCTGGAGTTAGCTGTGGGCCAGAACTTGTTCCCGGTTGAACAGCTTGGTGCGCCATATCGAGCCCTTCGTGCATTCCGGCCCGTTATTTTCTTGGAAACATCTCAATTGGGAGCATCTCCTCTTCTTCAAGATCTGCCACCTAGTGTCATACTTCACCATCTTTACTCTCGAGGCCCAGAAGAATTGCAGTCACCAATGCAAAGGAACAAACTTACGCCTCTACAGTATTCATTGTGGCTGGATTCTCAGGGTGAGGATCAGATTTGGAAAGGTATTAAAGCAACTCTAGATGATTATGCTGCAAAGATAGGAGCAAGAGGAGACAAAGAATTCAGTCCCGTATATCCTCTTATGACGCGACTGGGATCATCTTTATCAGAAAACATGGTGGCGTTGCAAAAACCTTGAAGAGTGGTATAAGCTGACATAAACCATTTGTCTGTGTAGATGGAATGTCCTTCACTAGGTTTTTGCTTTTAGAAACAGTTCTGCATATGAAAATTGGACCAAACCTATATTGTTCCATGCTAGTTTACTTCCCTCTTTTTTAAGGTACGTGATTTCTGTAACACGTTTTGTTGGAGTTTATACTTGCTGCGAGCAAATTTATCAACTTTTGTTGTTCTGTTGAATATTTCAGGTCTAAATCTTATTCATTGAGAAGAAAAGAGGGTCAATTGCTAATCAACTCTGCTGAGCTTCTGGATGTCGTTCAATTATGTTACATTCTGTATATTTCCTCCCGATCCTTCAAATTTTCTTCCCTTTTTTACTTGTTTGCATAACCTTTTCTCACCCACTTTTAAAGAGGCTGTACTTCGTAAATTTTGTTTCGAACTCACAATAATTGTTATTGTTAAAAAAAAAAAAGTCCGGAAATGACTTGTATTCAAAGATATTAGTGTTTCATATTTAAACATCGACTTTAATTACAAACTGGCCTCAATCATCAGTAAAGTAGTTGGAAATCTTTGTAAAACTTGTATTAAGTTTTAAGAGGTAAACTGTTGCCAAGTTTGAAGTTTCTACATTTGCTAGTGTAAAGAAGAGATGGTTGGAGATTTAATTCTAGGGCGAAAAGTATGTGCGCCATTTCCTTCAAGGAGAGTGGAGGACCGAACATTGAACAAAACGGAAAAAGAAGCAGCAGCAGAATTCTATAACACAATCAAGATAGTGGGGTAGTGCGGAATTGAAATAGAAATTTGATTGTAGTGTGTAATTACTAATTATGTTTATATGGGCACACCTTTTAGCTCATGCTGAGGCTCGAACTTCAGCCTTGTTGAGAAAGTCTACAATATCTTGGGGTATAATATTTTTGGGGCTTCTCAGTCATTGGATCATCTATCAGGTGAGTTCTACCATTACATCTAATGGCTGGAAACCCCGGGGGTATGGTATCTTCGGGGTATTGTAGACTTTCACCTCTTCGAAGATGGTGAGGTTATACTAGAGGTATTTGGTATCTTTGGAATATTGTAAACTTTCACCTCTTCGAAGATGGTGAGGTTATACCAAAGGTATTTGATATACAGCAGTTTGGACTAAATTAAACTTCTACAAGTACAAAGGGTCATGAAATAAACTTCCAGTGACATTTCTCTGCATTTCGGACTAGGATTCAGTTCAGTTAACTATTTGTCCAGTCCATGCGGTCCAATTTTTCTTGCCCAGTTTTTGCCACGTTGAACCGTTAACTAACCATGGTTTAAGCTTGGTTTTGTTTCGTTGAGGCAGCAGTGGGCAGTAAATGAGGCAAAAGTGGGCGCCAAACAAGGCCTATCTCGCGCGCGAGGAAATCCCTCTAAAACCCACAGTACCCTAAATCCCACCATTAGGTAAATTATTTCCCAAATCCTGCCATTCTTTTCCAAATCCCGCCATAATCGATTTTGTTTCCACAAATCGATTTCTATTTTGTGTGTTTGTAAGGAAACAAAAAATTATTGGGTTTTGATTGTGGGGATTAACAGCTAACTTGAACACCTAAATTAAGGGTTTTGTTTAGCAATTTTGACGACAACAAGGTGAGTATTTTCACTTACATTGTCTAATTCCTCAATTGATTTCATCAACCAATTCCCATAATCTGTTTATGTTTTGACACATAACTGTTTTTGTGAATTGCTGAATTTTAAATAATTTGTTTCCAAAAATCGATTTGTATTTCCAAAAATCGATTTATGTTTTGTGTGTTTGTAACGAATCAAAAAATTAGAGGGCTTTGATTGTGGTGAATGGAGTTGATTATGGATTAACAACTAAATTGAACACCTAAATTAATTTGTTTAGCAATTTCGACGACTGCAAGGTGAGTATTTTCACTTACATCTTTTAATTCCTCAATTGATTTCAACAACCAATTCCCATAATCTGTTTCTGTTTTGACGAATCCCATAACTGTTTTTGTGAATTGCTGAATTTAAAATCATTTATATGTTAATTGTTGTTTTGGTGCCATATATTTCTATATTTGACAGCAATGATTTTAGTTATCAATCCACTGTATTTTATCCACTTTATTTTATTACTATCATGTTCTGTTTATCATACTTCATAGCAAACGTCTCTGTTTGGGCTTAATTTTGTGTACATGATTCCTAAACAAATTTTGAATTTTTGAGAATATATCCCTTACGCGCTATGTTATATCCACTAACACAGCATTATGTTTCTTCTATGTTACACATTTATGTTGTAACGAATTTGTGAAGATAAAAATATTGGCATAAGACTACTATACTGATGGGATCATGTTATTTTTATCATACTTTCACACTTATTTCTTACTTCCGTGGTGCAGCTGGCTTGTTATTTGATTGTAGGAATCATGAATGAAGAAAAGTCACACGTTAATGTTGATTTTGCTCAGATTGTTCATAACGGCCATAACTTTGTTTGTGTTGAGAATGTTGATAATGATAATTGTGATAACGTTGTTTATGTTGAGAATGTTGATAATTTTGTTTATGTTGAGAATGTTGATAATGTCGTTTGTGTGGACAATGTTGATAATGTGGATAAAGACCCTTAGGTCTGGAACTCGAACTGGTTGTGGTGCACGGATGGGAATTATATATGATAGATTAAAGCAAATCTATGTTGTATCTAGGTTTCTAGAAGCACACAACGACCCTTTTTTCAAACCTAATTTGAGGCACATAATGCCCTCGCAAAGAAGTATTAGTGTTGCTTGGTCATTTAATGTTGAATTGTCACATGTCGTAGGGCTTTCATTGTCTATTGCATTTTATTTAATGGCAGGGGAAGTTGGTGGGATTGAATCAGTTGGCTTCATAAAGCGTGACCGACTCAATTACTTACAAAAGAAAAGGCATTTGGATATGTAACATGGTAATCTGGTGTGACTCTTGTCACATTTCAAAGAACAGTGCCACAAAAATTTGCCATTCTATGATGACCTCCAATTGGACAACGAACAAATGATAATGAATATTTTTTGGACAAATCCTGGTATGAATACAAATTATAGTCATTTAGGAGATGTATACACATTTGATAGCACATACAAAGTGGTGTGAACTTGCGTCGATCCACAACCAAAGTGCAAGGTGTGTGATGAAATATGGCCAAGTTTGAATTTGTAAAATGCCACTACCACTACTAACGTAGCAAGAGTGAGTAGGGATCGTTCCAAGGGAAAGGCACGGTATTTCGGAATCAATGTTGGATTAGTAGGCCGAATGATTAAAAGAGGGATTTGTTGGTTGAATTATACTACAATTTAACTAAAATAATGCAATGTAAAACAACTAAACAAATGAGGTGTAGAGAATGAGAGAGGATTCTTGGAGACATAGAGTTCACCACCAAGCATTGCCTTCTTAGACATTCAATATTTGATAGATTAAGGGGATTATATGTTGCAAAAGAAAGTGTGAGCCATTAATTGAAATATTAAACATGGATGGCCAAGTAAGCATACATTGTCTAGTTAATCTAGCGAATAACACAATATATCAAATTAAGCCATTAATCCTTCCATAAGCCCACAGTTAATGCACACTCAAGAAACTAGAGAAATATACTATTTGTATTCATAAGCATGGAACATCAAACAATAAGAATGAATTGCCCACCTATCTAGGAAATTAAAGCAATTACACTACAATTATGCTAATGACATAAAAATTAAACTAATTAAATAAGGAGGTGGTACAATCCATCAAGAAATAAGTATGAATCATCAAATAAACCACAAGAGTAATCCATTTAAGCACTATGCCTTGACCATCACTAGATTCATAATATCAACACACATAGACATACATCAATGTCACAAAATTTAGAGTAAAACATATGAACATTCATTCTAACATACATAGACATATGGATAGAATTAAATAATCAACTGGAAGCATTAAACTACACAAATCATGTAGAAACAAGATTTATATATATATGAGGTCAAAACAAGAATTATCACACAAATCCCCATTAATTACAAAACATCAAAGTCTAGGAGGCATGCTTAGGGCTATCTCTAGCCCCAAGAGAATGGTTTAGCCACTCACTGATGTTGTCATCCAACCCTCAAGGGCTATCTTTATGGGTGAATTCATCCTCCTCCCTTGGTGTTCTTGGTAGAAACCCTAGATGAGTGAAAGAACTTTCCCAAAATGTATGTTTCTCTCTCTAATCTCTAGCTAATTCTCTCTCTCAACTAACCAACCTCTTACTAAAAATGGCCAAATTCCTTATATAGGTAGCTCAAATGTCACACCCAATGATTAGACCTCGTGCACTAGAACCTCCAAATGATTGCACAACGAGTACACCGTCAATTCAGCTTGAAATCTGTTTTGCATGCAATTTGAGGCAGTTCGATCGATCACATGGTTGCTCTGATTGATCGAAGTATGGCGGCGCACTTTTTGGATAAGGACAAGGCTGGAATATTTTTGAAAAAAGGACAAAAGTGGTTGGTGAGGATAAGATCAAAAGGTTCGATCGATCGGATAAAAGGTTAGATCGATCGAATAGGAAATTTTCCTGAGGATAAGGACAAATGGCTCGATCCACCATAGCAGGGTTGGAACGATCACAGTGTGATCGATTATAGCCTGGTTTGATCGATCGTAGAGGAATTTTTCACCACTTTGCTTCCACTTTGTTCCTTTCTTCCACTAGACTTTAGGTTGCTTCTTTAAATTCTCTAATTCAGCTGAATTGACTTATTTTGGGGATAAGTGCCTGAAAAGGGAAATAACATGAAATTAGACTAAAATTGACAAAATAAGATAGAATAAGGTCCTAGAACATTTAAGATTAAGGGGTTTAAATGCGTACCTTTCAACGCTTATCACACCCCCAAACTTAAATATTGCTAGTCCCTAGCAATGAACTATAAAGAAAAATAAGAAACCAACAACTATACAAAAATGAACTAGAAAGCAATAAATGGATAATGCCACTTTCGTAGGGAACACGATTGCATTTAGCACATGCAACAAGCCTTTTAAACCCCTAGGTTACCCCTATTGGACAAGTGAAGTCTCGTGAGGGTTTCCAAAAATGATACCCACAAACATTAAGTACTTTCTCACTAAAGAGGCACCAATATTCCAAATAAACATTAGGAGAAAATTACCTCAAGTATGCAATTTTTCAACCATTTCCAAGCAATCTCCCAAAATTTTAACATCAAGCAAGCAAGTATGGTCCTCCACACATCAAGACAATGATCATGCAAATCAAAACAACTCTAGAATCATTTTTAAGTGAACCGACATCAAATATGTTGCTATTTAAGCCAACTAAAGAAATGATCACATTCGGTCTCAAGCTAGCACACAAATCTAGTACCAATCATCAAGACAAAGAATGGACCTTTTATTAAAGCTTTATTCAACTAGGCGATGTGTCTCTCGTAATCGAATGATATCGTGTAGGATAGTTCTACGTAGAAAGGA